AAACGACAGGAAGCAAGCTAAGGAAGAGCACGAGGAGCAGCAGGCCCATGTAGAAGTTGTTGGACCTCGATGCCTTGAAAACTCGCTCGTGAGGAACATTACAGGCCATCACTGCCCAGCACTGGAAGTACATCGACGTCAGGAGACGCAGCACATTCAGACCCACCAGACCTGGAGCGTAAAATGCTCCCATCCTAAGAAAAACAACATATTAAGCAACACTGTTCAAAAAGAAAAAAGATCCCGATGCAATTTCAAACTAATCAGCCACTGAATAGTGTAATTAGTGTTATTAGAGATTTTGTGATTGCTGCATTAATGATAGGCGGATCAAAGAAACATGAGCTGTGTTTCAGCAGAGGGAAGCTTATTAGTGAGCCATTCATCTCATTAGAGAATCTCCGGTCAAGCAGAAAGGAGTCAGAAAATAAAATCATCGATGGAGTAATTCACCATATCATTCCTTGATTGAAGATAAGCCCCAGCACATTCCCACTGATGTCAAACTCTGCATAAGATGGCTGGAATAAACACACAAACAACATGATTTGCATGTTCTCCTGAATTAATAAACAGCAGGTCAATACACTTTGCATTTGTTGCTCTCTCTCTCTCACACACTCTGTAATTAAGTTCTCATTGTAGTGTCCTGTTTCACTCTATGTTGCCAGATGTCATTGCAAAGTATCAGGTTGATGTAGATGCATTACGAACTGCGGTGGTAAACCCCTTGAATTAAAGCAGAAAGTCTGCACCTCCTCCTCTGTTCATGTGTTCAGTAATACCAGAATGATAATGACATAACCACTACTTAAACTGACACAATCACCTTAAATTCCCATGAAGGACTTGAGACAAGTGGTGCAAGTGCAGACTTAAAAGTTTTATTTTATTTATTTTTTTAATTGTGTTAACAGCAATTGAGCAACAATCAGTTTTGAGGCCTGCTGAGGCCTGTTCCCTGCAAACATTGCTGATGAGCAGGACATTATTTCAGTCAAACAAACTAAGACGAACATATGTTAAGGGCACGGGACACTGTGACCCACTGACACACAATTAGGAGTACTCACGATTCCGGCCTCCAGGTCCCAGCACCAGCAGTAGTTGAGGAAGCGAACGATGATAGCTCGCCCAAAGTCACCGATCAAGATAGTCAAAAAGGTTACCTGCATGTCTGATACGATAAGTTTCACAAATTCCTGCAAGGTAAAAGTAAAGACAGAAAAGAAAGAATTGTGATGTTGTCCATGTCCCCAAATACTTAAAATCAAATGTTTATTTATTCAAATACTTAATTTTTCAGGGAATATGCTTGGTATGAACTAAATGTATACCAATCAAATAAGTTTTGTTTGATCAGAAAATTCACATTTTATAATGTACCTATGTAATAAGATTACATGGAACATTTACATTAGTCATCATGGGCAGAACATATGTAGAGTCTATGACCCCTACCAAATTGAAACAATGTTGCACTGATCACTGCGCTAGCATAGATAAATAGTTATTAATGAACTTGTGCAACACAAATTGATGTGATTATTGTGTTACACACAATTTAGTGTAATTACAGTAATGCAGTACTTTGTAATGTGTTTCCCTCAGCACTGTTATACATAAAGCTTCTACTAACTATTCCCACTGCAGTCTCCCAACAGGGTCCTCTGACAGCATCTGCAGGGTTCACGACCAGTGGAGGCACATCCGTCGTGTTGTAGTAGGAGCTGTAGTTGGCATTGTACTCATGTATAGCCCATTCAGTGGCATTCTTGAGCTCCTGCTCCGTTTCCAGCTGAAAAACATTTAATGCATCAAAGAAAAATTAAGGTGTCAGTGTTCATGTAGCATATTTCATACACACATCAATGTAGTTTCCAGGTTTTTAAAAAGAACTGATTATTGGGAATTTGGGAAGGACTGTTCACTTTCTGCTTAAGATGTGAGTTAAAGGTCCGATACCACTGTCGCTTAATTTAGCACAAACACAGGAACAGTAGCCAGGATCTGACTGAGGAAAACAAAACCTGCATAACCGGCTATGAGGTTTAGGGGGCAATATTTCACACACACACAAATACACACAAACACACACAAACACACACACTCATTTTCATATCTTAGCAAGGATATCTAATTGACATAATGCTTTCCCTAGCCGCTTACCCTAACCGTCATCATCAATAAATGAATGCCTAACCTTAATCCTCAGCCTAAACCTAACCATGACCTAATTGTAACCCTGACACTAAAACCACATTCAAAAGTGCCTTCAACGTTGTAGGGACGCACATTTTGTCCCCATAAGTGACTGTTGGTCAACACAAGTATAGTGGCATGCAAATTTTCTGTCCTCATAAATGTGTATAAACATGTGTGACAAATATGCAAAAAAACCAAGACATCTGCAGTGTACATTACTTTTCACAGCAGTGTATAAATGCAACTGTAACTAATGCATGAAGGCACATCAGCCATACCTTGTCATTAACTTCATCAAAGAGAGCAAAGAGGAAGGTGTAAAGATTTCCCAGGAAGAGGGCGAAAATCCTCCCCAGCTGCCACTTAAGGGCAATACGGGGATGATAATCTTCCAACTCTGCGATGGTTTCAAACAGTGGAGGACACACTAGTCCCAATAGAGACATCACAAACTCCACCTGATACAAAAGACAAGAGAGAATGTAAACATTTATTTTTCAAGCCTCAAC